TATTATCTATTAATGAAGTTGAGTTTCTTTTCATGTTTGTCATTTGTGTTTCCTTTTCTGTTAAATTCTGTAAATTTTGCCAGTTTTTCCCTTTTTGGCTCTTAAGAAATTGGTTTTTAAGAGTTTATTATATATTACTTTGTATTGTTGTCTTTTATCAGTAATATATTTAGCATATACCTTTCTCCCAATTTGTGGCTTTTAGTTTTTTTTTTTTAAATAGAATATTTTGATGAATAGAATTTTTTTTATTTGAGTCTAGTTGAATTGATCAATTATTTCCTTTATGATATTGTTTTGCTCAATAAGTTCTTTCCTTTTCTGAGATTATCTATATTTTCTTCTAAAATTAAAAATTCTGCCGTTCACAGTTAAGTCTTTAATTCATTTGGAGTAGGTTTTTGTGTACAATGTGAGTTAGATATTTAATTTCCCTTTTCCCCCCCAAGTAGATAATCAAGAAGAACTGTGAAGAGTCTGAGAATTTATGTTACTTGCAAACTAAGGATCTAGCCTGCCAGTTTATGGATGCTAGCAGAATAAGAGACTCCCAGGTCAGCACAGCGAGCAGCCAGCTGCTGTTGGTTCCCTTGCCAAATTCTCAGAGACCTATGAGAAGAGGGCTGCCTGGCACCTGCATTGCACTGGGTTGCATTACAGGAGAGGAACACCAAGCTAAGGGATCCTAAGTCTTTTATAGTGAGCAATGAGGCAGTCTGATCTTTGCCCCAGAGGGACACATTATCTTTATTACAGAACAATGAACAAACCTACTCTTGGCTCTGGAGGGAGAGCTTGTCTTTCTTTCCCCAGACTGCTTGCTACCTAAAGAGTCTTGCAAACAGCCTGGAGTAGAGGCAGTCAGTGTTTCTGCTTGTAAGATGTTCAGAACAGAAGAGGCTTAGACTTTGTTGACCTTATTTGGCGAGATCTATGTTAGAGATGCTTCCTCCTAACAAGATGTGTGGTTGTGCTGCCAGCAACCCGGCTCTAGCAAGCTCTTTAATTTTTTTTTTAAATATGTAAATTTGTTTGACCATATGGAGCATATAAGATTGAATTCCAGACTTTAGGGGACCAGATCCATGGGTTAAAAATTTCAGGGGTGACTATTCTTCTTTTCCTTTATCTCTATCCCCGCGCCCCCCCTTCCCCATCTAGAGCCAGCATGGAGGTAAGAGTTCTTGATACACTTCTTTTGTTGATAGCATGAATATTTTTCCTGGGTCACTGTCTGAGGTTATGGCTCTCTTCAAGCGTCCAGGTTGAGGGTGGGATTCTTAAATGTAGCTCATCCAGTTCCAATGGCCCAAGGCTTAGTCTCCCATTCCCTACTCTATATGGATACACCTCCAGGCACTCCCAGTTTTTGTATTTGCTTACACTTCACACTCAGTTTTCAGTTTACTCTTCTTTTTCTTTATGCCTTCGGGGTTTCTCTGATTTTGCTGCAAGCTAAGTTGTGAATTAAAAAAACAAGCTCACTGTAATTACCCAAGACCTAGTAGTATTGTATAAAGGAAGGCTTTTTAGACTATCTAGTTCATACTGCTACAGGCAGAAGCCAAGAGTAATCTTTTAAAAATGTAAAATAATTTACATGGCTCTTCTCTTACGACTCTCAAATGGCTTCTTCTCACACTTAAAAAATGTACCAACCGTCTTGGCCTCCAAAGCACAGAGCTTGTTCACATCCCCTGCCTCTGTGCCGGGCTGCTCTTCAAGTATGGTGACCTTATTCCTGCGTTGGAGCCTTTACACTGGTGCTCTGTGTGTGGCATGCTCGTTTCCGCTTCTTCACCTGGCTGGCTCATTCTTCTCATTCTCATTTATGCCACCTTTGCATAGCAGCCTTCCTTGATTAGCTTTCTCTCTCTCTCTCTCTCTCTCTCTCTCTCTTTTTTTTTTTTTTTCCATTATCACCATTTTAATTCTGTCCACGGTACTTAGTGTATTAGCTGACACCTGTTCATTGTCTCTTTTCCTACTAGAACCCAAAACCTTTTTTAGGTTCAAGGGATCTTGCTTATGTGGTTTACCACTATCTTCTCAGGGTTTAGGACAGTACCTGGCACACAGTAGGGACCCAAAACTTGTTTGTTGAGTGACCAGAACTGAACATTGATTCCTTAGCCTCTTTAGACAGGACCTAGGTTCTCCAGTGTCCACTACTTCCTATTATGTCCTTCACCCAGTTATTTACCAATCGGGCCCCATAGGCATTTAAAATCTTAATCCCTGATCATAAATATCACTCTAATTATCTTCAGCATTTTGAGAGCAGAGGTCGTGTTTTATGTCTTTTTTTTCTTTTCTTTTCTTTTCTTCTTTTCTGACTTCAATGCTTTGCATATGGTAGGAGGGGAAGGAATTAACAGTCATTGAATATCTCCTACCTGTCAAGCACACCACCACTATAATTTATATCCTTAAAATACCACTATGGGGCCAGGTATTATTATTTTTTTTTGTTAAATTTAATAAATCTTTGTTGCTCCGATTATTACAATTGTTTCTCCTTTTTCCTCCCATAGCTCCCTTCCACCCGGTTTCGGTCAACTCATCACCTGTGGGTGATCATTTTGTAAATAATATAAATGGCTAATCAGGGGATTATACACCTGTAATTGTACATCAACTGTAATTGAAAAAAAAATGACAAATTCAGTAAAAAAAAATCATCACCTCAGGACAAAGACAGACACTGAATGCACTGAATGTGTGCCATGCAGCCAAACAATCTTTAAAATAACAAAATCTTATTTTTATTTTTATTTTATTTTTTTACAGAAATTCAGGTATTCCAACAAATTTCTTTACATTTCCTGGACCTTAAAAAATTACACACAACTTTTGGACGCAATACAACAGAACAGAATGAGAAAGGGAGTCACTTTATTTATTTTTTTTAAAAAGATAAAAACATACTTCTTATACGTAACATTTAGTGACTTACACAGTATTACCTATGTACAAATGGTACATCATCAATGACTGATCTTCAGAGCACTGTGGTATGTATGCTAAATTACACTTAGGTTTTATGGGGGGAAAAAAAACTTAAAAAAATTTGCATATGGATAGAAAACACTTTTTCAATTTTGTAAACACCGCTATTAGTGATGTGAAACTCCCAACAGAATCTGTAATTTACATGGGTTAGAGAGAGCCAATACCTTTATTTTATTGCAGATAATGTAGAGAGGTACTTCCCTTTAAATAAAAGATGAATTCTTGAAAAGTTGTGTGTAATTAAGTTTATTAAGTAGGGTGTTTTGAATGCACCGGGGGAGCTATTAGTTAAAAGTAACTACAAGAATGGCTACTTTACAGATTAAAAAGTATTCCCTAAATTTAGTTCTTTAGAAAATCCATATCTTTGTGAACTGGGTTTCACTGACTTGAGCATACTTGTAACATACTCTTAGCCATTTGAAACCTAATATTGTTTATGGTGAAAAGATGTCTACTGCCAGAAATATTCGTCAGAAATACGGGTGTGGCCCTAATAAAGAGTAGAGAAATCAATTGTGATTTGTATCACTTCTTGTATTATCTTCTGTCGCTACTTCAGTGACATATGGCAATTTTATCTTAATTTTGAGTCTAAAAATGAGGGCCTGTTTTCTGCTCAGGTACAGAATATGGTTTGGGTTTACCCTGATTGCCCCTGGATATACATTTTAGCTTGGGATCATTCTCAAGCAATTGACTACTTCATTATTAACTAGTTTTCTGTTGTTGCATATTGGCAGGCTACATGGTGAAGATGCTGGTGGGGGAAAATCCGGGAGCAAGAGATGGTTGAAGACAACTGATCAGTTGTAACTACCTTCCGATGCCAACCAATTAAGAGAAAAAATTTGAGTATTTTTGAAACCAATGTTAGTAAACAAAGAGGCAATTTACTCCTACCAACTTTCTTTGATCTGTATAAGTATATACTCACTTATTTCTAAGGCTATTACATTATTATTTATTTATTTAGTACCACTTACTATCATTTAGACATAGGTTTAATGGAATGATCTGTTTTTTTTAAAAACAAAAAATGAGTGTGCCAGTAAGGGAAAGAAAGGAGATGGGGTTCTCATGACATGTGTGGTAAAGAAATAGAAGAAAAAAAAAAATAGAGGAGATATTTCATATGCCTATTTAGAAAGTATGTTAAATTCCTATGGCTATACTAGGGAGAATTAGAAAAAGTCTTTATCTGATAGCAGCCTCTATAAGTATATGTGAGCATTGAAGGTGAACATGAGCTTTCTACATTTTTTTTCTCAGAGTTCCTTGATGCTGTTTCCTGAAAGGTGGGAAATTTATTTGTCTTGGGAACCTGCGATGTGGGTGTACTTCCTATAATACACAGCTTGATGGAGTCAGAGTATACATCAGAAACACGTTCTCAGTAATAACTCGTACAGACATTGAACTGAACAGACTCAGTGAAAACTCTGAAGCATTACACCTCTGAACGGAGTGATTGGACCTCATTACACAGTGGAATAAATGAATAGCGGAGAAGCGGGAGGCCCCTGTGACGATATTCAGAGGCATTTCTAAGACGCTTCCTCAATAAATGATTAGTCTCTAGGCTACTGAGATAGAAATACTTTAGGATTGACTGCCTTTTTAAGTATAATGTTAAAAGAGTAAAGCTTTTTTGTTTTCAGTTGGATTAAAAAAAGGACAGTTTACAAACCTCAGTACATATATATTTTACATGTTAATTCTAGCACGTTTATATTCCTCTTTCTTGAAATATTTCCTGAATATGATTTCTTATGAATGTAATTTCTTGTGAATGTCATCTGATCTTATATGATGATAGTTTCCTATGAGCTGGTGTTTAATCCATAATCACTCCCGTCTCTGATCTGATTTGATAAAGTGGGTGTTTCACTCTTGTTCATATCCATCTCCATATCCACTCTCTCCCAAGTGTCTTCTTTCTTGATGTTGATGTACAAAAGCTGTTACTCGATTTGTTTAGCTTGTGCTCATTCTAAAGAATATTGGCTTAGCAGAACTGCAGGTGGGAGGTGGGGAAGAGAAAGAGAAGAGAAAAGAGAAAAAGAGCATCATTTTTTGTTTTTTAGCAAGATCTTTGTGCATATTTATCACAGACAAAGCACGCTAACAAATGGTTCAAATGCATTTGTCATCAAAGAAGACTGAAGAAGTTTCTGTTCATTAAACAAACAGTATCGTCTTCTAGCAAGCACCTTCCTCTTCCTTCTATAGTTCAGACACGTGTATTCCCTACATCTGGGTGAACATTACAGTCTGCTTTGAAGGAGCAAGGAAAAACCGGAAATGATCTCAAGCATCACCGATTTTTTTTTTTTCCTGACATAAAAAAATGTCTCATTTGAGTGTTTTCCTTTTTCCTCCAGGTTTCACTTATTTATCACACAATCAACATGATAACATCGAGGGAAGAAATTATTATAAAGATAAATCATTCACAATCCAATCACACTGAGATACTAACGATTTTATTTCCATTCCTTATTTTATATATAGCTGGAATCATAGTATAGATGACACTGTTAACATTATATTTAAATCAATTTTCTACATTTCCACTCTGCATCATCAGCATCAATTTTTAATGGCTGCATACTATTCTATTCCATTCTCATTTCTTTTCATTGCATGATCAATCTTCCATCCTCACTATTTCACCATTGTCAGATACGTAGGTAGTTTCATTTTTCAAAAAATTATTGTCAATAACGAATATCTTTGCATATAAAGTTCTATTTTTTGTTCTTTTCATTCTTTCAATTTTTAAAATGTTTAATCCTCATGTGAGGGTATATTTTTTATTTTATTTTAGAGAGGGAGGAATAGGTAGCTATGATAGCTAGCTAGTTAGAAACATTGATCAGTTGCTTTCCGTAAGTGGCCTGACTAGGGATTGAACCCTCAACCTGGGTATGCGCCCTGACCAGAATTGAACCTACCACCTTTTGGCATTGGGATAACACTCCAACCAAGTGGGACAAAGGGAAATGGGACCTTGGAAGCTCAGGGTTTGATTCCAAAGAAATAAAGCTTTCTATAATACCTCATTCTCCCATGTGATTCTCAGAAAATTCTTTTTCTTGTGACATTGCAAGGAGACCACTCCCACCAGCAACTGGTGAGGACAAAGAGGGCTCCCAACCGATAACACTCCCAGTCTCAATGCGGTTTCTTCTTTAAATCCCTAGTTGTAGGGCTTCTATTCAGCTAGTTTTCAGGTGGTTCTCAGTGATGGTTGTTCTGTAGTTTAGTTGTAATTTTGATATGTTTGTGGCAGGATGCAAGTACTGAGTTTACCTACACTACCATCTTGACTGGAAGTCCATAACCTTTCCTTCTTTTCTTTTTAATATTTTCATTGATTTTAGAGAGGAAGGAAGAGGGAGAGCAAGAAACATCAATGATGAGAGAAAATTATTGACAGGCTGCCTCCTGTACACTCCTGGGGATTAAGCCCGCAACCCCGGCATGTACCCTTGACCAGAATCAAACCCGGAACCCTTTAGTCTGCAGGCTAATGTTCTATCCACTGAACCAAACCAGCAAGGGCAACCCTTCTTCCTCCTCCTCCTCCTCCTCCTCCTCCTCCTCCTCCTCCTCCTCCTCCTCCTTCTTCTTCTTCTTCTTCTTCTTCTTCTTCTTCTTTTAAATATATTTTATTGATTTTGTACAGAAAGGAAGGGAGAGAGATAGAGAGCTAGAAACATCGATGAGAGTCATCGATCAGCTGCCTCTTGCACATCCCCCACTGGGGATATGCCCGCAACCAAGGTACATGCCCTTGACCAGAATCGAATCCGAGTCCCTTCAGTCCCCAAGCCAACGCTCTATCTATTGAGCCAAACTGGTTTTGGCAACTCTTCCTTCTTAAAGCTCTCTTCATTGTTCGATTGTTAACATTGGAACTATACTGCCCAAACATCATGCCAGTCTTGGGCAGGGAGCTGAGGAGTGAATGGAAAAATAAGAGAGTGAAATCAGTGAACCAGGCCTGGATTGGGGGAGATCAGTGAGGCTTCAGGATACAAGATTCAAGAGGGAGTTCACTCCCAGGGTTGTGCAAATGTAGGGTGAGTGCCTTCTTAGGAATATCAGGGGGAACACTTTGTCTACGTAACCTCATTGGCCTCATCCTAGTCCCAGTCCTGCTGGTGCACACAGGCTGCTCATCACAAAGCCTCCTAGGAATGTCTGATTGAGTTTGAGTTACTAAGACACTGCTACCACTGTGGCGTTTTTGTTTCCTAGTGCATAACACCACTATGCAATAGGAGCGCCAAGGTATGTGAGAATCCTGCAGACCAAGCCGGGCTAAAAATAACCAGCATATTTGTTCCAGCAGTGATCAGAACACAAACACTCCCCACACAATCTCAGGAAAACACTTTGCCGTGGACAGTAAAATTAGAATGCTACTGCAATTACTTAAATCACATGCACAAGGAAGAATTCTCCACCTGAAGGCTTAGAAAAGACTAGCCCTTTAAGTGAAACCAAGAGGACAAAAGACAGGGTTTTCCTCTGCAGATGTTACCGTTACTCCTCCGGTCTAATGACTATGAGACACAAAGGCAGTTTGAGAATCAAGTGGGAGCATTAGTGTGGTTACACTGTGATATTCACTTTGTAAAACATTCTGCTTTTCCTCCCTCTGCCCCCCCCTCCCCCCCCAATTTTTAGCTTAACATTTCTCATGCACCATGGATATTGCATAGCTCAGGGGAGGCAATTTAAAAGATGTCATATTCTTCCATGTTTGTACAGAGCAGGAAGGAATAAAAAGTCATTTGGTGATGCTTTAGACCTTTGTTCAATCAAGTTTGTCCTTGTAACACGTCATGGGCTCCGACTTGCTTATGTTCCAATTCCATGGGGATCTTTGCAAATCCTTCTGAAGCTGTCATTTGAACCATTGTGCATGAGAGCAGCATTTACAATGGACACATTGTCTTGACCATGCAAATGGTTTGTTGTTGAATTTTCTATGTGTTTGTAGACTTTGAAAGGTCTCCTGGGTCAGCTTCTGCTGGTTGTTTCTATCTGACCTATTCGGTTAGGGCCTGGAGAGCCCAATGTCATGATAGCTGGTAGGCAGGTACGGTCTCAGTGGAAAAAAAAAAATTTAGTGGGAATATCAGGCTTTTAGCAGAATGGCTTACAAGATCTTTGTTATGGAAGTAAAATAAATAAGTCAGAGAAAGACAAATACCACATGATTTCACTTATTTGTGTGATTTAAAGAATAATATAAATGAACAAACAAAACAGAAACAGACCCATAGATACAGAGAACAGACTGATAGTTGTCATTGGGGAGAGGTCTGGAGAGACTGGGTGAAAAATGTGAAGAAATTGAGAAGTACTTATTAGCATGCACAAAATAGCCAATATGGTCAAGGATAGAAAATATGGTCAATAATATTATATTAACTATGTAAGTGTCAGGTGGGTACTGGCAATTTTGAGGGCCACCCTTCCACTCAGTCCCGACAGCACACTCTCACCCCGACTACGTGCCCCGACTACAGCTGGATAGGAAGCTACTCCTGTCCCCCGCCCATCTATTGTCCCTAATGCCTTCTTACCCTAGCCAGAGCGGCAACACCAGCACTTCCTTATGGGTATTATAAACTAGTTTGTATCCAAATTCTTAGCTGGATCTAATGGGTGTGACTGTGTCTACTGCTGGCATCTATAATTTCAGTGCTGGCTGCTGAGGCAGAGGGATGAGGAGTGGAGAGAAAGAAGGACCAACTGTTATAATAAAAGGCTCTTTTCAGGTAAAACCAGTGACCGGGATTACATTTTTAGAACCGAAAGCAAGATACAAAATAAAAAAAAATTATTTCCAAAGACTTCCACCACCCTAACTGTCACAGTTCATTCTGGCTTCTTCCTATCACGTTGCGGTTTATCTGCCTCATAACACTACTTATGGCCTGTAATTATCTCATGTGTTTTCTTGTTTTCTGTTCCTCTTCCCTATCAGAATGTGAGCTCCAGGCCACTAGGATGTCCTCTGCTTCACTCACAGAGCACCCCTCCAGCTCGTAGATCTATGACAGGCGATCAGAAAGAGAAGCTCTCCTTTTCTCAGTACTCCACTAAACCCGTGGTCGGCAAACTGCGGCTCGCGAGCCACATGCGGCTCTTTGGCCCCTTGAGTGTGGCTTTTCCACAAAATACCATGTGCGGACGTACAATGTGATTGAAACTTCGTGGCCCATGCGCAGAAGCTGGTTTTCAGCTCTCAAAAGAAATTTCAATCGTTGTACTGTTGATATTTGGCTCTGTTGACTAATGAGTTTGCCGGCCACTGTCCTAAACAAAGGCGTTTGCTCTCTTGGCCTGGTTGGTTGCTCTTGGTTTGCCCTTGCTCTCTTGGGGCTCTTGCTGCAGGGGGCTCAATCTCTTGGCTCCCCCATATTCTCCCACCTGGCCCACAGCCATGTGGACCACACACACAATGGACTAACGGATTGCAACTAGCTTAGTACTGAGCTGGAGCCAGCTCCACCATGGAGTGGAAACTTTGGACACTGGCTGTGCTAGCTCGGCTGAATCCCCAGCTATACCTCTTCCAGGACTGGATTAAAGGAAAAGAGAATTTGGTAAATGCAGAGATGCAATTCCACACAAATAAAAATCACTCATCCTTCTGTGTGAGTCTCAAACAATTCTTTTTCTCTAGATATCATAAGGATCCCAGTATGTGCCGCACCAGCACGGCCAAAGGGTGAACCTGAGTGGGGATGGCTGAAAGGCTTAGAAAAGACAGACAGGAGAATGAAAGCAGAGTCTCGGTGGGACGCTGCTTCTCTGAGAGACAGTGACCACGCCCACAAGCTGTGTCTTTATTTTATAGCAGATGCCACGAGGCAAAGTAAGGGCATGGTCAAGATGTTTACAACATTCTCCTGGGTTTCGATCCTACTCAATTACATGCACCTGATCAAGCTTTGTTTACTACGTAGCAGCCTATATCACTTAGGCACATGG